GACTGTACCTATTAATAATTTCCAGACAAAAATACTTTTTTTTTCTGTTTAAATACAAATATGATGGACCATTTGTTAGATGATTTTTGATTTTTTTTACTGGACATGGAAATGTGGTAGGTAGATATTATACCTAAGTAATAAGAAAAAACGAGGAATGCGTATTTGGTAAAAAAAAGTAAAAAATCATAGCTTTTCTTCATCATTAAGGCATACAATAGCATCCCAATTTTGTCATCATATCTTCAACTTATCATAATCATGGCATATACGTGCCCACTGCTGAGCAAATCTAGCTATCTTCTCAAACGGAGAAGGTTTGAGGATTATTCACAACGCCTGCTCAAAGCGGATTGGCGATTACAAAATCAGCAGTGCGTTTTTATTATTTAATAGATCGGCTAACGAGCAGACGGATTACCTGATGGTAAGTAATCAGCGCCGCCCTTGGACACCCGCAGCGGAGGAGTTACGAGTGCGTTGCCGACCTTTTAGGGATTAGGGATTTGGAGAATTAAAGAAATTGAGGACGGATTGGGGGTGGGGAAAGATTGGGCCTCCGGTAACCTCACTCACACGGCGAAACACAACGCTGTGGTTGTTCCACGCCGGTTTTCTGTGAGGCCGTGGTATCACTCCGGTCGAGCTGACCCATTCGTGCCGAAGCATGGCTCTCCCACACTTAAATAATTATTATAACAAATATGTATTTTACAAGCACATTCAAATAAAAAAGCGCATTATATTTCTTATTGTAGTACTTATTCACTTTTGGGGTGTGATTAATCTTCTACACATAGTGTGATTTTATGCATGATGCTTGTAAGCCAGACAAAATAGTCCTTACATCATTTTCCTATTAAAAAAATTTATGACTTGATAATTTCCTTCTAAGCCCTGTCAAATATTCGTAGAATATGTATACGAAAATGTTATTACCGAATATGTATTTGAGCTTTTCCTTATCGGATCTTCGTTAATATTGTAGGTATTACATAAATCGTGAAAATAGCTAACGTGATACGTGTGAGGAGGGCTTGATACAAGTGTGAGACGCCCACGATGTTCTTTTAATTGGTATCGTCGGCAAATTGTGCTTTCAAAGGCAAAACTAATGAGGTTTGTTGATCTTAAATGGTGTATTTTGGTTTAATGAAAGGTTCGCTCTCTCTCTCTCTCCTCTGTCTATCTATCTCTCTCTCTCTCTCTCTATCTATCTATCTCTCTCTTCAAAGGTTCGACTTTAAGAAGAATCATCACGGCTTCTAACTAACGATCTAAGTAGAATATTTACTATTTGATATTTGGTTCGTACCTACATTGATACAAGTACCAAAGAGGTCACATTTTTATGGCCTGATTAAAGTAATTACTGACGTATTAATTAAAACTAAGAGTCGAATTATTTTCTCGTTAATGTTTTAATGTGACAAAAGTTAAATAGAATGAGAATCACGATTTTTAATTGTTAAAAATCGTGATTCTCATTCTATTTAGCTGAGAGTTTTGTTTTCTTTTAAGATAATTAACATTTAAATTACCTGCCTCTAATCTTAATTTGACGATCAGACAATTAAGATTAAGCTTTTATTGTTTTAAAATAAATGCGAAAAAAATCTTAAAAACCATTCCATTTCTTTAAATTTTATTCTAAACAGAATAAATGAAGACAACCTTAAGGGCTGATTTTTCAATGGTCAGATAAAAGTTATCTGGGGTATAATTATGAGGCTGTCGCGTCAAAATGTTTGTACAAGACAGTGACAGCAACAATTTTAATCCTCAGATAACATTTAAGTATCCTACTATTGAAAAAACAGCTCTAAGACAACTTTAAGTCAACAAAATCGGGCTATCAATGGCATCGCGTTTAATTGAATTTGGCTTCATAACGTAATTATCAAAATTTGTGTGTTGCAAAGGAAATGTCTCAAATCTGGGTCAATTACGAGTTCTCCAACTTAATTACGAACTACATTAGGCTTGAGCGAGCTTACATTCTGTTGTGAAGTAAATAAAATGTCTGTCATTTGGTGAGGGTCGTAGATCGTAAAATAAAATACAATTGCTGGAAGCGAAAGTCCTTAATCTAGCCCACATAATCCTATCTAGTTGCTGTGTTATCTACGTGACCCAAGACTTGTAATAGCGGCTGCGATCGTCACCTAAGCTATGAAATCTTAAGAAGATTTTAGATTATCCTTGGAACAGAACAATGTTTGAGTCAAACTTGACTTCTGTGTTGGTTTTTTGAAGTTCTCATTTAGTACGTCAATTGCTCAAGAGAGCAGCGTGACTTTATGTCGGCGACTTTAAGCGGTTGCAATAATGTTTTAGGCTAAGATATAGTTCTTAACCTTAAACATTGCTGCGACGTCTTGAAAAGCTCATCATTATCACCATAAAATCAGCTACGAGAAACCTACAGCTTAACTTATGCCACCCGCATTGAACTTCAAAATGGCCACTTGGAAGCGACTAACACTCACTAGCATCTTGTGATCTTAGTCAGATCGTTTTTTAAAAAATCAATGTGGAAATCATTATTTTAAGTAAACTCTTACAAGTCGTTTTAAACGTCAAACAAAGCTTAAAGACAAAAAGTCCGTTTATCGGTCAGCACTCGAAGTGAAGCTATTTGCTCTTTCCAAAGTGTGGATTCCGATGGAAAAGAACGAGCAACTTGTAGGTGGAAGTCTAACTAGCAATAAATTATATTATCTAAAAATAAACCTAAAAACAACAGCAAATATGTTCTTTATAACATTTTTATATCAAACGGTTTCACGGTTCCCCGTTCGATCCACATCGTTGTTATGATAATTCAAATCTCAAGCCACCAATAACACAGCTGCCGAAATCTCTGAGACGTATCTGTCAACTTTGATTCTTTGTAACAGAAAGTAAATAAATCTTTGCGACTTACACCTGGAAAAACAACGACGCCCTTTATCACATTGAATATGTTTTTTCTAGTTCTTGATTCAAGATCTAGTTTGAAGGACGTTCAGTGAAGTACCTTCGGGATTTGAATATGTCAAATATTATGATTTTCCATTATATAAATAAACAAGTTTTTTATGATAAGTTCTATCCCCAGATAACCGAGTGAGTCCATCTATTCCTCGTCAATCCCTAAATGACCTTAACCACATTTCTCCAAAAACCAGCAACGCACTTGCAAATCCTTTGTTTTGCCCGTGTGTCTATGTGTGTTTTGGGCGTGTCCAAAAGAAAACTGTTCACTGAAAGCCAAAAAGGTAAAATAATAACACGCTTGTTAATTTTTTATCGATTTATTCCCTTCTCGTACCTGAAATATTATGTAAAAATAGCTACATAACAAGGTGATAATATTAGCGGGTCAGTAAACAGGTCGCATGTTGAAAGTATGTCAGATATTAATGTCTCATCACAATTTTCCGCTTTATGAATCTCTGTTGGATGTTAGTATAGATATATTGTGTTAACATAAATATTACTGTAGGATATTTATTACAAATTCTTCGAAGATATGGAATGAGATCGTTGAACATTTGTTATCTTTTACTAATTCTGCTAGCGGCTGCGTACAAAGTACCAAAAAGGTGGAAAAACCCTATGTATTATTCCATACTACTATCTATATCTGTGTCATATTTAATGCAGATCGGTTGAGTAGTTTTCAAGTGTAAGACAAGAATAAACATTCATTCATACTTACAAACTTTCACGTTCAAAATATTACATAGGATGTTGATTGAAAACTAAAAATTAAACTGCCTGCAAGGTCTGGCAGCTGCGCACCGAGGCGCGGGTTCTTTTATGGGTGATCCACCGACTGCTGTTATAGTATATATGTAAGGTATGAAGTGTATGTGATCTTGTTTCAAACACAGCCACGACACAAGAGAAAACTACTCGCCTGTGGTAACATTTTGAAATTGATATATGAATAGATCTATTCTTTGCTATAACCTAAGCCATGAACCTTAAATTTATGTATAGTATATAGGTATATATCGTGATTCTCAGAAATTAACTTAACAGGTCTGTAAAGGGTACAAAGACGGCCTTATCGTTAACAACGATGTCTCACAGACTCAAAGACGACCTCTACTCTGAAGAGAATAGTAGGTACTCCAAGTTTTCACCAATTACCATCAGTTCGGAGTTATAAGTGGCGTTAATAATAGAATACTTATGTATACCAGGTCCTATTCTAGACACCTCTTAGAATTAATGATGAAACGTTTTTGAATCACAAAAAATATATATTTTATGAAAAAAATTTGTACATAAAGAAATATAACATATTTTTTTATAAATGTTATATCAAGATAATAAGTATTTTTATAATAAACAGGAAAATAAAGATATATAAATAATAATGCCTATTATGGAGTATCTATTATAGGCCTTTCATAGGGAAAAGGTCTAATTATGGCAGGTAAAGAGAGGGTATAATTTTTCAGCCCATCTTCCATCGCGGTCAATTCTCTTATTCCTAGCAACCGGCAAGGGCCAGCATTGTACTTGTAAATCCTTTAGTCCTTTACAGGTATCTCAAGACGTTACCAAATATTTTACACCTTGTAAATTATATATGGTGCAAAAGGCAAATAAATAAGACACGGAACCAATGTGACCACTTTTATACACGTAAGGAAAATGATCCATAAATTAAGTTTAAATTGCATTCTTTTAATTACTTAACTGCGTCGCCCTCAGGAAAAGCTACTTTCAATTACTATATTTCTTCTATAGAATGGCCGTTATCATAGCATATGTCACGATCTTTATCTATGTGACGTCTATGAAAATAGATTGAAAAGATAATTCCTATTTCAAAATTATTGCGTAAAATTGTTGGGAATTAATGTATGAAGAAAGTACTGACACGGCGAAACACATCGCTGTGGTTTTTTCCATATCGGTTTTTTGTGAATTTTTTGCAAATCGGTGTTTTTAAATGGCTATTTGTACTATATTAAAAAATGTTTTATATTCCTTTGTTACAGGTGATTTAATGGACGTGTTAGCACTGTTCACTTCGTCAGTAAACTTCGTGTTGTACTGCAGCATGAGCCGGCAATTTCGGTGCACGTTCGCCAGGCTGGCACGACGGATGCTCTCTGCGACTGAAGAGCCAGTCAAACTATCCAATAAGTTAGAACCGACCACGCAGGTATCTCAATGTTAGAATCCTTAGTTTGTTATCTCTGTTCAATGTTTGTGAATACCGCTTTTGGTCCTACTAACACAGAATAGATACTGCATGTTGACTAACCTCTTTGAAAATGTTATGTATTTTGTTTTTCGTATCTCTAATGATGTCATTACTTGCTTTTAGACGTGTAAGGACTGGTACTTCTTTGCTGAGTTGCGCATTTTGTTTAGCTTTATTAAATTTTGAAATCTGTTTTTCTTTTTACGGTGTTTTGTTTTCCATGCAGCATGATGTAATTTCTTTATGTTATAATGCTTGCTATCCTTATTTGTAATAACCCTTTTGTGTATGACTAACATAAAAAATATTATTCTTGGGATTTTGTTTATAGCTAATAATAATAATAACAAGGTTTTCATTAAATTAAGCTGATTAAGACAGTCGGTAGACCCTTGTATTACTAAAAATACTTGAAGTAGGCAGGTCCTTACGAAAAGTTTGAAGAAAAGAAAATTAAGGAATCCCAAAATAGTTTTGTCGGTCAAGATGTTTACCCAAGAAATTCAGTTGTCACATCTTAAACATACCTAATACCAGTGGCTAGGGCAAGCAAATATGTCTAGTACATATCTCTTGAACAAACTTTGATCATGTCAAGGGAATCACGTCTCTAAAGTCATAAAATGTAATCTTACACAAACTTTAATAGCTTGCTTTGGAAAACAATATATTCGGAGTCTTATCTTGGGTCCAGTTTCGGACGAACAGTTAGCTAAATTAATATTTAGTAATGATAAGTTATATGTATAGAACGTTTTATTAGATTAGTTTTCGTTTACTTGTGTCAGTTTTGTTATGGCATAACGCTTTGCCGTAGTCAGGTACCTAAAATGGAGGCTAACGGGCAGTAGATCAGTTGATAATAAGCCATCGGAATTGTCCACAGAGAATACAAAAATACGTGCCTCTCTTTTGGGGGATTTGAGGAATTTGACTAATTGGGGAAGGAGTTAGGGAATACTCATTTAGTAACCTTACTCACATGACAAAACATTAACAACACGCGTGGTTTCAAGTCAGTTTTTTGAAGGCTTAGGCAAATAGCAATTTGGTCTAGTTGACTGATTCTCTCTCTCTCTCACACACACTAACACTACGTACGGTCTCACATACATGCCTACTTTAGTTGCTAAAGGCTACTAAATAAATTACTTTCATGAAAATGTTTGTATAAAAAAATACATATTTTGTGAATCATGTTGTGTCAGTTTTTCTATATCAGTAATGAACTATGGATATAAAAGAATATTCAAATGATATGATCGTACAATTCCAATTAAGTACTGTTAAATTGATTGATTTTTGCTAAAAATTCCAATTGATTTTCGCTTTAGACTTTTTTGTAGTTATCTTTGAACATTATTATTAGTTACAAGTATGTTAAAATTAACCCAGAAAATATCATTTTGAAGAATATTTGTTGTCGTCTAAAATCGTATTTCTTAGATTCAAAAGTTTTGCATATCAAAATCACGACAGCTAAATTAATTTTTGTCTTCAAGGGTTCCAACTGAATGGTTGTTATTATTTACTTATCAAAACTTCTGTGCAAACAAATAAAGTCTTTAGCTTCAGTAACAAGTCAAAACATTTAATGTTATTGAACTTAGTTGAGAATTGAGCTTCATAAGCACACAACTAGTCTATTAATGTTTACCCAAACCTATCCTAAGTTTATCTTTTATAGGATAAAGCATACATTTGGCCAAAGAGTATGCAGATGGCCTGATGGTAAGCAATCGGCGTCGCCGCCCGTAAACACCTGCAAGAACGAGTAGTTATTAGTGCATTGGTGTTCTCCTTTTGGGAGGTTAGTGATCTGAGGAAAGGAATTGTGCCTCACCGCGAAAATTGTTACACGCCCATTTTATTGTAGGGCTCACACTGATGATGTGATGATAATTCTAGTCGAGCCGATCTATTACCGCCGAAGTATAACTAAGTTTCATTTAACATTGGCATATCTATTTTATAGGTAACATGTAAATTTTATAAAGACTCAAATAAAAACATAGAAAAATAAAATGAATAAATTTTTATACGTGAACAAAATATTATAATTCGCCCTCATATAGTAAATACATGAATGTCAGAATGACATTTAGTGATTGTAACACAAAGGTAGTTTGACAACATACCCGATTACCATATTTATTTAAATAAAACGGCAACGTTGCAAATTTTAATTCATATTCAATTCGTTTGACACATTAGTAATACTTATTGAACAAAGCACTTCTACTAAATCAGTTTTTCAAATATCAATTAAAAGCGATCGTTTTATAATTTACTAGCGATACGCCCTGGTTTCGCATGAGTGCAATACTGATACTAAATTACTAAACTATTTCACAAATGTTATTGTTATCCTTCATTTTTAGAAACCTTCATTTTCAATGTTCTATCTATCGAAAAAAAGCAGCATCAAAATCCGTTGCGTAGTTTTGAAGATTTAAGCATACATAAGGATATGAGGATGGAGAAAGCGCCTTTGTTTCGTACTATACAGTGATTTCAGTATAATCAAGAGAGAAAGAGTTTCTCCATTTTCTTTAAATACCAAGACTGAATAATCGCTTCAATGAAAATTTAACATATATAGACGATCGTAAAATGAGTGCAATAAGGTTTAAAGTCGTAAATTAAACCTTGGAATAACGGTACCCTTCGATTTTGTTCAACAGATAGCAGTGTTTTATAAAACAAAGATAATCTTGGCTTAGAAGTATTGTTTATTTTGAACTGTGCGCTTTGCTGGCGTTCATACATTACGCTTCTTTATATTATAAGTACATAAGTGATTAATGAGAACATGCTTCTATAAAAAGGTGTGCGGATTTTTCTATTATTTTCTTTTTATCATTAACTAGCTACTCTTGTGCCTTCCACCCACTTAAAAATACAAACCAACTCTTTAGTTTTACTGTATAAGTATTGATGTCAGTAATTTTTGAAGTATCGAATTACTTGCACCTGGATACTTTCCTGTCTTATCAACGTGTCAGAAAACTATCACTATTAGAGTATAGTTGAAAATTAAATTTACACATAATGTATATGATTTTTTAATTATGTTTAGAAATATCTATAATTTCATTACTGTTTGTAGCATTGTAGACTTGCTTTTGTATAGGAGACCTCACTATATTAATCCGTTCTGCTTAATTAATTGAAAGATGCGAAGGCCTCAAACACAATTTGATACGATCTCCAGACATCAACTAAGATAGATCTTGCTTCAGATGTGACCCACATTGTTCTAAAGATGATGGAATTATAATTAGTCCTGACATCTATCCCTAGGACTAGATAGAGCTGACGTCACAACAATCAGTAATGGTCTGATAAATTGATTGATTTGGCCACTTACCACCTATACAATAGATTTGTACACTAATGAATGATTAATTAGCAAAGAATGCTGTTAGCACAGCAAGCATCACTACATAATATAAACCACAGTTGCTTCCTCTGTCCCTATATCCCTATGTACGCTTTAATCTTTAAAACTAGGAAACGGATTTTGATGCGGTTTTTATTAGGCAGAATGATTTAAATGAAAAGTGGAGAAATAAAGTATTGATATTGCACCCATGTTAAGATGGGCTCGTAGCAAGTTTTTGTATAAAGTGATTTTATATTAATAAGTAATTAAATATATTATGGTTGTTCTCAGGTCACCGGGCCACTATAGCGCCAAATTCCCGCCCTCATCAGGGTGGTAGAAGAGAGTATTATATAAATAACGATACAGGTAAGTTTAAATAACCTTTTTTTAGTTGTTGACTATACTGCCAATATTAACGTATTTTTTATTATTATTTTAGTAAACAAAAGGATATTCATTCGTTTGAATATGTCATCATATTGTCATTGAATACTTTTGAAAATATTTACCTACTGTGACAAGTTTTATTTAAATGTTGGTTTTATTTTTTTAAAGCAATCTTTTGATATGAATATACATTTACAATACATCAATAAATAAATATTTCTAAATATTACGGGGCTGTCCCTGTTCACATTTATAGCATGAATTAATAAGAAAAAGAATTTGGATTTTTTTTGGACAACTAGTTGTTGTTACATTTAAGCTTATATTTAAATACTCAAGTAATAATAAAAAACAAATGCACAATATTTTTAAGGGACACAACATGCTCTGTAACAAATTATAGAAACATTTAAAAAGAGAGAAAAGAGTTACTACAATAATGCGTAACAATAAAATAAAAGAAAAAAAAAACAAAATAAAAAACCACATTTTGAAGTTTTTGGAATTTCTTAAAGCGTCCATTACAAACATCACACTTAACTTATTACAATCTAACTTTCACATAGGAGACACATATCACATTGTGCGTAGTGTAAAATAGTTTTAGACACCAAGCAATTTTACGTCTATTATAATTGAATTTTTGCTACTATTAAAACAATCTTCATAATTAATTCAACGTCTCACAGATAATTCGAGAATCTAGAACTTATATTGGAATAATCACGACTCGCATTCTGGATATGATTTCTAGAAATTCCTGACAAAAGTTTGAAGGAAAAAGTGACATTAAATTGAGTAACTACCGTAAGCTAGTAAAACCTACATTAAGAAGTCGAATTGGTTTAATACATTCATCATTGCGATTTTGTTAAAGATATAATAAATAAGTAAAAATACGAAAGTAAATACAGCAATGGGTGGGGGCTATATGATATATTTAATGTCATAGTCTTTCTCTAACAGCCAAACCTTAGGGCAATGCAGAGATAAATCACAAGCACAGCACAAGCATCATCAGAGACATTATAAACAGACTAACATAAATATGTAACATACTGTTAATAAATAAATATGTACATATACCTATATAATATGTAATATATATTATTAGAATTTTGTTCAATTTTATTCTAGATCTATTCCTGTCCTTTATTTTTTTATATAGGAATCCTTCTGTATACATCCATTTGTAACTTATTTATGTTTTGCGCGTGACGGAATATCTTTCATTTATCTTGACACGCTCCACGCCTTTTGCCCTTCAGATTAGTCGCTTTCACTATTCCTGGAAGCACAACAGCAAAATACGGGAATAGTGGACTAAAATAGATGGAAAAATAAGGCTATCATAAACATGTTTTTAAGATTGAAACATCATATCATTTTCTAATTAGCGAACTGTTTCTAATGACAGTTACTGATTAAAATCCAAGTTTAGAAGTATGAACGTCAATAAATCTACGCCGTATTATTGGATCCTACGATCTTTGTGTTTATAAAACATACACACGTGTAAGGAATTCTGATCGACGTGAATACCAGAGTCCATATTTTGCGTAAACATCAATCATGGTAGTGCTTTGTTCTGTTGCTAAAACGAATTCTCTCTGGATTCAAGCTGAGTGAGTTGTATGAAAATGTTTTTAGGTCTTTGTAATAGAGATGAATATGTACCTTATGCTATGGACGTTATTAAAAACGAAAAGATGGCAATAGTAGAAATAGATTAGGTAGTTAAAGATCGTGTTATTGAATCCGATTATAATGCCAAAAATATTGGTTATTTTTTACTAGCTTCTATTCGCGGCATCGCATGTATAAAAGTAGTGTTTACCCAGGATTTTTAAAACAGCAGCGTTTAAAGCGATAGCTCGACTAAAATACGCAATTCAAGAATAATTTATAGAATATAGCTTTCGCGAACATTGTAGCTGTCTAAGTTTAAAAGAGAATTTCGGAAATCCGACCAAGCAGCGGTCCCTAAGATTACCCCTACCCCTACCCCTCTTTATAATATAAGCATAGATAACTAAACCCTTTTTTTATTAAATTGCGCTCTAGTGCTTTAGTATAGTTTCATAAAAAATCTAGAACTACGATAACGAAGAATCTTTTGTCATATTTTTTTTATAATCCGATTTGTGATGCACGTCAATATTCTTTGACAATTAGTGGCATCCCTAAATGGTGTTTAGAATTGCTATTGTTATAAGCCACATGTGTTTAGCGTGTAAAATTTGACACGTTACACGTTCAAATCTACATGTTTAGCCACGCTTGACTTTGTCAATAATTTCGTAATCATTGTATCTGTAACGTGTCACGCTGCGTGACGCAAACAGCGTTTCGCAACACTATTTATTATTCTTTAAAATTATGTGAAATTTGCTTTAAATAACGCTATTGTTTTGAATTTAACATCATTCTATTTATTTTTCACAAAAAATATTGGAACGAATCGTTGTTTTTGATAAAATTTAAAGTAAGTACTTAAACAATAAAACAGGAATGTGCTTTGTTTTTATTGAAAAAACAAATAAAAACTGGTATACGTGTATTTCAATGCTAATAGTTATGTAATTTTTTGACCAAAATTTTACTATCTTCAATGTTATGTGAACGGGTTTATTGGCGGAGCAAATTTATTGATATATCAAGGGTATTTTCGAGTAGCACACAGAACTATATGTGTTACTCGAAAATAAACACGTACCTAATATATGGTTTGGGTAAGTTGAACAAATTAGGCGTAAAGGCTGGCTGTTTGACGTGACATTTAGAAAGTGGTTGGGTTTAATTCCCATACGAAATAATTATCTGGAAATTGAACCAATATATTGTTTGACTAAAATTTATTAACACATAATCAGTACAAGTTATAAAGGCAGGAATTACTCGTTATTGTTGATTAATTATTTAGGACGCATTAAACTATAACGTTAAGGAGGCTTATAAACTAGAGTTCTAATGGAACAAATCATAATGCACTGAAATTGCTAGTTCAGTTCAAATGCTTTTAACTCGAGTAACAATAGCCGTAATGTACCGTCAATCCATTTTCTCAACACTACCAATGTGATCAATCATATAGTTTGCAAGTTTGTGTTCCTTTACTCATTGCATTTACCTATGTAGTAATAAAAAAATAAGATACTTACATACAAAAATATTTGTGAGTGCTAAATATCAAATCCTGCATTCGTCATTAATAATTCATAACAATATAATTAACTACTTATAGTGGCTTCATCGTCATCATCATCAAACTCTAAGTGTCCGCTGTTGATCAAAAGCTTCTTCTCACACGGAGAAGGCTTTAGTATTAGTAACTACGTTTGCTTAAGTCGGATTAGCGAGTTCAAACTTGTAATCAGACATTTTTGTTGTTCTTCACCATCTGTTATTTATGTCTACATAAACTTAATGCAAATAATTATAATATATTATTCGGAAAAAAACTTAACCTACGAACTCTTCTAATCGAAACTCTTTTTCAAATAAAATAGACATAATTCAGAATCCAGGATATTTAAGAAGCTCGTAGGAGGCGTGTTATATCATAGGCACCAAACTAGACAAATATGTATGTAAGTGTTCCCAACTATCTATGTCTCAAGCGTACGACGTACATTGCATTTGGCATGCGCCTCAAAGAACCATTAGATCACTATAAATGGGGCTCACTATAAATTCTCATGCATGAGGTTAGATGCATGTGAGTTAGAAACCCGACAAGTACCATTGTGACTTTTTCCGAGTTATAATATGTACTCTCTATGATTATTTAGCCACCACTGACATACGGTGAAGGAAAATATCGTGAGGAAACCTGTCTGACCTGGACTTATAATTTCTAATTTAAGTTTGAAATTGCTAATCGCCCATGAGCAAGCGTGGTGATAAATATTATTTTCTTCGTGTGAGGAGAGGCCTTTGCTCAGCAGTGGGCATTTATAGGCTGATGATGTGAAATGGGGCCCAATAGTACCGATGTTAAGTCGGGGTTATATTATGACTATATTATGAACTTATAGCAGGATTAGGAACAAGGTAGTTGGTAGCCAGACGATAGTGACAAGAGAAAAGAGCCTCTTGCCCTACCCAAGTCATTTAGATAATGATTTTCCTCTCTCAAAAAAGTATGTGTACTAGACATGAGAATTTAGGTAAACGCTTAGCTTGAAAACAAGTGCTTATTTATTGTTTTATCCACAATTTTGAGATTCCAATCTTGCTAAAACCAATTTACTTTAATGAAACCTAGCTCCGTATAGAAGACTTGGGGCAGTTGCTCCAACAATTTAGGTGGGTCAAGGTTCTTAGGAGTAATTTTGGTGGCATTATTATGGATTCTTTTCAAGTAACAATGAAGGTTGATTGGGCTTTTAAAATAGGTATTTTCTTAAGGTAAAATAATACTCGAGTTCATTGAGCGAGATTTGAATAATTGGCTGTCTTTTTTAAACCTGCTTCAGTATATAAATACACTAAACGAACACGAGATTTGTAATTGTGACTTGCTCACGGTTATTAATGATATCATCACTCCATTTTCTAATAAGGAACAAACTCGAACATTTGTGATATAAACAACATACGAGAAAACTGACTTAAAAATGCTAAAGTATAGGAGTTAAAGTACAATATTTTTGTTTATGGTATAAGTTGGCAAACGAACTTATGTATCGGATCACCTGGCTTTCAATTGGCGCCACCCATATGCACGCATAACACAAAAGAATTTATAACTGCGTTGTCGGTCTGTTGTGGGCTGTTAGGGATTTAAGAATAGGGGATTTAAATTAATGCTCAAACCTTCTCCGTATAAGGAGAGACCTTTGTCCAGCAGTGGGCACTTATGGGCTGATAATGATCGTGATGTTGATGATGATTCTGAAACAATTGAATAACAAATTGTTTATTTGTTACCTATTCAGTATCGTATTTTTATGAATAGTAACTATCGTGATACACAC